AGAGACAGGACTCAAGTTGATGTTCATAGTAGAACTATTCACAATAGCAAAAAAGATGGAAATATGTGCATCAATGGAAGAAGAGATAAACCAACTTTGGTATGCTGTGCAAAGCTGAAGAGTAATGATGAATCTGCAAAATAGCTCATAACATGGGTGAACCTGGAGGATGTCATGATGAGTTAAATTGTTGTTGTTGTTAGGCACCATCAAGTCAACACAACTCTTAGCGACCCTATGCCCAACAGAATGAAGCATTGCCCGGTTCTGGGCCAACTTCACAATTGTTGCTATGCCTGAGCCCATCACTGCTGCCACTGTGTCAATCTATCTCAATGGGAGTCTTCCTCTTTTTCTCCAATCCTTCCTTTATTGAAAATGATATCCTATTATCTGGTCCTTCCTGATAATATGTCCAAAGTATGAGAGACGAAGTCTGGCCATTCTGGCTTCCAAGGAGCACTCTGGCTGTAATTCTTCCAACAAAAATCTGTTTGTTCTTTTGGCAGTCCATGGTACTTTCAATATTCTCCTCCAGCACCATAACTTAAGTGCATCAGTTCTTAGATGGTCTTCCTTATTCACTGTTGACTTTTGTATGCATGTGAGGTTTTTGAAAATACCATGGTTTAGGTCATGGCACCTTAGTCCACAAACTGACATCTTTGCTTGTCAACATTTTAAAGAGGTCTGGGTAGACAGATTTGCCCGATGTAATATGTTGTTTGATTTCTTAACTGCTGCTTCCATGAGTGTTGATAGTTAATCCAAACAAAAGGACCATTCTGGTTCCATCAGAGAAGCAGTTATGCACAAGATCCCGGTGAAGTTCTTGGGCCATGAAAGGTATTTGTACTTTACTGTAGTGGCAATGAGGACCACTACTATAATAAGAAAAAGTTTTCTTGTTAAATAAATTTTATATCGTGGTTACAGGGGCCAGAGGGAGGGAAAATTATTCATGGGCTAGAGGGTAGACACATGTTAACATGGGGGACAGGGCAGACAATATACAAGAGGAAGCCTGGCAGAGGAAAAATGAAGGCAGTGGGAGACACAGGGAGGAATGCAAGAGTTAAGGTGAAAACAGGTAAACACTGTTAACTGATGGTGCATGAAGGTGATTTCAATTATTGTAACAAAGCAAAGTATATGACTTGTTGAATGTAAAACTGATGATTTGCTCTGTAAACCTTCACTAAGTTTACAATAAAAGTAAAAGAGAGAGAGAGAGACTAAATCAAAACACACCTTACACTAATACTGCCTCATTAATATAAGAAAGAAACTTATTCCCCAAAATATAGGGGTTAAGACTTATAATACATATTTTGGGAGGACACAATTCAAACCATAACACAGTCCAAATGAATTCTTCCCCTCCCCTCTTCAGTCTGTATGATACCTCTCTGTTAGATTTTACTCACTGAACTCATCTTTTCCTGATTTACCTGGTTAGCTAATTCATTTATTTCATTTTTGCCAGACTCCTCCCAGAAAAAGATAAGCTTTATTGTTGTTGTTGTTAAGTGCCGTCAAGTTGATTCTGTGCCATAGTGACCTGGTGTAGGGTTTCCAAGGAGCAGCTGGTGAGCTGGCAAACCACAGACCTTTAGTTCAAACGACTTTGGAGTCTGGTGCATTAGCCCACTGCGCCACACCAGAGTTAGAACAAGGCAATTTCTGTCCAGTGACTGCTATTTCCCCATTCCTAGAATAATATCGGTCATTATGGAGTCCTGGTGTGGCACTATAAGGTAAGGTCTCGACTGCAATGTCAGTTTGAACCATAAGGTTGGTGCTTCAAATCCACCAGTTGCTCTTCAGAAACCCCGTACAGGATCACTGTGAATCAGAACCGACTCCACAGCACTTAGCAACAATACAGTATTGAATACTCATACTTTAAAAATGAATAAAGGAAGGTAATACTTATGTGTCATAGAATGGCATATCCAGAATTATGTGTGTCATCCCACTTGGCACTTAGGGTGACTACGTATGGTGGAAGTGAGGACTTGTGGGGAATAAAGACAGCTTTAAGAGAAGGGACCAGAGAAGCAGCTAAGTCCAAGATCCTGGTGAAGTTCTTGGGCCATGAAACGTGTTCGTACTTTATTCTGGAGGTAATGGGGAACCACAGAGGGTATTAAGAAGGTAGGTAGATAAGGAGCTCCCTCTATATTCATTGCAATGGTCATGGAAAATAACTGTCATGCTATAAGTTCTGTTTATACCACCATCTACCTGTCAGTTTGTCATATGGGGGGTGGCTTGTATTTGTTATTATGCTGGAAGCGATTCCACTGGTATTTCAAATACCAGCAGTGTGACCTATGGAGGGCAGGTTCCTATGGCATTTTCAGAGGAAGACAGACTAGGAAGAAAGGCTTAGGAATCTACTTCCAAAACACAGACATTAAAAACCTAATCAATTCCAACAGAACATCGTTCAATATGGTACTAGAAGGTGTGTTTCCAGTGGCCACAGCAATGGACTAAAAAGATGGCATGGGACTGGACAAGATTTCAGTTGTATTTTTGTTTTTTTTTCTTTTAGGACTATTGAGTCGGCACCAACTCATAGCAACCCTCTGCACAATAGAACAGAACACTGACTAGTTCTGCACCAACTTTACAATCATTGCCACGTTTGAGCCCATTGCTGCTGCCACTGTACCAACACATCTCGTTGGGGTTCTTCCTCTTTTTCTCTGACCCTCCACTCTACCTACATGATGTCCTTCTCCAGGGCCTAGTCCCTCCTGATAATATTTTTGAAAGATGAGAGACAAAATCTGGCCATCCTGGCTTCCAAGAATATTCTGGTTATACTTCCTCCAACACAGATTTGTTTGTTATTTTGCTAGTTAATGGTAGTTTAAAAATTCTCCTCCAACACTATAACTTAAGTGCATCAGTTTTCCTACAGTCTTCCTTATTCAATGTCCAGCTTTCACATATGAGGTTATAGAAAATACCATAGTTTGGATCAGGCATATCTTAAGTTGCCATAAATTGGAGCCAACTTGATTGCAACTTACAACAGCAACAATTATACCAATAAAGATTTCAAAGTCAGCCAAAAATCAAGGACAAACTCTAATATACACCAGTGTTGAAAGACGTCAAGAGATGAATTCTAACTGAGTGTAAATGTTACATACTACTCTCAGTTGAGAGTGGTTTGTAACAATTACACTCAATTTGAATTGAGCTGGGGGCCCTTTGAGTAGTTAGACATATTTCTGTATGATAAATCTAGAAGTAAAGATACTTCACATTTCAAACTTTTTGTGATGTTTGACAAAAAAAGCCTGCTTGTTAAATTTACCTTCAACCTGAAAAATGAAAACAAGGATGTGGAATTAAAAAAAAAAAAAAAAAAATCAAACTGTGGTTTAACTTTGAGCTCACAGTGCAAACCCCAGTGGAAGTGAGGTTTCTGCATGAAAAAAGCCTCTGTCAACATGTGCCCAACACTAAAGGGGGAGTCACTTAAAAACAAACAAAAAAACAAAGCAAAACACAAAAGAATAGAAGATTTTCCTTTATCCTATCTACAAATGTGTCTCTTTTCTTCCACCATTGTGCATACTGGAGTAGAAAATCATTCATGCCCCTATACCTTCTTCTTAATCACTGTGGAGGAAGGTAAAAAAGTAACTACTTAGAATCCATTTGCCAGCTGTTTCCCAAAGGTTAGAGAGGACTAGGCTCCACGCCCCTTTTGGAAGCTGCAATGGACAAGGCTGCTTCCCAGGTTACTCTGGAGAAGTCTTTCATCTGCCTTCAATGTTGATGTTTGTGACATCCGAGACTACCTTTGTATTAACATGAGAACCAGGAGAGGTTACCTGTTGTTCATTGAGATCTTTGTTTGCATAGTTAGACATTGAACTTGTTTATGATGGCCACTAATAACATTGACTACTTGGTATGTGTAGGTGTTCACCATCCATAGCCAGACTACATGCATCCCAAACAAAGTTCCATTTTATTTAGTCTATCGGCCACCATCAGGTCATCCTATGTAGTTGTAAGCACTGTCCTAATCAGAGCATGCCTAAGCTCATAAACAGCTCCATGAAAATGTGTGTTTGATGGGCTTCTCTCCCTACATTTGCCCCTCAAATGTCAACACTTCCTTATACTCACTGCCACCGAGTCGATTCTGACTCAGATCTACCCTATAGGACAGAGTTGAACTGACCATAGGGTACCCAAAGCTGGAATTCTTGTAGGCACAGATTGCCTCAGCTGTCTTCCAGAGAATGGCGTGTGAGTATAAACCACAGACCTAAATTTAGGTTAGGAGACAAACCCTTTAACCACGCCATCCCAAGGACTCCTTCTAACATCTCTTCACTAAAGGATGATTACGTTTAAGGGTGATTTTCAAGAATTCCATTTTTGTTTCAATAGATCCCACATTCAGTACCATCTGGCTCCAGCTGTGGCAACTTTCAGTTAGCTATGGCTTGAAGTAGACAGTGTTCTGTGAGGCCAGTTATCCAACCCATGGTGACCCCACCTATTCCAGAGCAGAAGTGTACTCCATAGGGTTTCCTTGAATGTCATCTTCATGAAGCAGATCACCATGACATTCTTTTGCATTGCTGTGGGGTGAGTTCGAAGTGTGAACTTTTCAATGAATCAAATCCCAAACCAAGTCTACTCTTGTTGAGTCTATTCCAATTGATAGTTAGCAACCTTAGACAGAATTTCCAAGGCTGAGTGCAAACCATTGGGAACACACCACCAAGGAATCCAGGTCAATTTTCCCCAGGTAAAATGGAACCACTGTCTATGGTAAGAATGCCAACTGCAACCAGGTGAGTCCTTGAGCCTCTGCTGCATCCAGTGTTAAGACACCCTGCAATATTCTCTATGGCTGATGAGGGCTCTCGCTGCAGCAAAGACAGCAAAGCAGCTCTGGCGGCTCATCTAACACCCTGGGGCCCTCCTGACCTGTGATGGTCAGAGAGCAGGACACTTACTGAAAAGTCGTCACTGGGAAAGAACAGGAGCTCTCGAAGAGAATCGTTCCCATAGGTCTTCTCGAGTTCTTCAACAACAGTTTCATAATCCAAGGGCTCCAGGAGCCTCGGCTTTTCCTGCTGTAGAAACAGAAAATATATTATGATCACTTACTCATATAGTCACTTACCAACAACTCATACAGTCTCGCGTCTTCTCAATGTCAGGTGGGATTACATTTCTTACCATAACTCAGTCATCAACATGATGAGCCCTCAGGTGGAGTCACAGAGTCAGGAAGCATTTAAGGATCAGCCACATAACTACTATTTCTGGATCCGAAATAACACCATATCTTGACAGCTTTCTTATGAATTCAAGTCTTTCACACTGAACGCTCAGACTCATGGTATACAAGTCTGTCACCTCCACAGAAGAGCTGTCGATATGCACCCTACCTATGTCCACATGAAGAAAGACCTTCTGCCTACTTGTTATAGAGTTATAGCAGTCATCATATTTGCTGGGTGAGACACTTCCTTCCGTGTTTTACTAGGGTCAGTTTTAAAATATTGGCACTCTGTTTGTGACTCAAGTACTCCAGGCTGTCTTAGCTGTCGCTGAAGTATGGGGACTGTGCCAGGGTTCATTACTTGGCCCCTTGGCTCCTTGCTGCTACAGAGAGAAGCCAGGTCAGTCTTTCCTAGAACTGAACAGCGCAATTCTTGTAGATTCAGTGCTGTGAGAATGGAGAAGAGTCTCACTCAGATCACATACTGCATTAAAATTCTGAAGTCACGAGGAATGGCATCCCCTCTCAAAGAAACTGGCCAGGAAACCAACAAAATAAATGCTAGAGGGGAAATGGTATGATTGCTTCATTGTAAGGTTGATTGATTGTTCCCAAACCAAACTGTCTAGAATTCACAACTTGAGAAAAAGAGATGCCCAAATAATAAGCCTAACAAAACAGGAAAAAGGACACAGTCCGAGCCCCGAACCCTTTGATGAGGCATTGGATCAACCTATATAAAAAATGAGGAGCCCTATTAGCACAGTGGGTTAAACGCTGGTCTAATAACCATAAGGTCAGCAGTTCAAACCCACCAGTCACTCAAGGGCAAAAGACGAGGCTAACAGTCTCAGAAACTCTAGGGAGAAGTTCTACTAGGGTCTCTATGAATAAGAATCAACTGGATTAAGTTTTAATAAAAAGTGATGGTTTCCTGGTCAAGTTTCAGCTACTGACAACTCAAGCAGTCACCACAAAATTTGGATGCTGAAGTGATCTCTTAGTTGGAATACATATACATATACATATGTGAGTTTTTTGTTTCACTTTTTATATCCATGCCATCCACAAATGCTTCCTACCAGCCTCTCCCCTTACCAGGCCTCAGCCCTCTGGAAAATGCAGATTTCGCTTTGATTGCTAGGTTTTCTTTGGAAGGTAAGGATCCAACAACTTTCATTACCATCTAAAAAATTGCTAATGGGCTCTTCATCATGGCAGTCAATGCTTTTCTTGGATAATTTTCCAAATATAAAACAAAACAGAAAAAATATGAATCTCTTCTGCCTTAAATGAGTACTGAAGCTACTTTCTGCCTTAAGTGAATAATAAATAAAAGCACATTTTAGGAGCACTTCAGTAATACACCAAGGACCAACGTAAGGTGAATATTTTTTTCAGAAGGATCCTAAGGGTCACTAGATTTACCACATTAAAATGAAGAATCCCAAGTAATAATTTGGACATATTCCCACTTATACTAAACAATTATTTGTTGATAATCTGAAACTCCAAGTTAACTGTGGGTTCTGTATTTTATCTGCTAAACCTCCTGTACACTCATCTGGACCAAACAGTGCATTTTGTAGTTAAGGAAATAGTGGAAGAAACAGTAAATTTCATTTCCCAGTGGCCACGATTTTGACAATTAAGTGGGGGAAAAAACTGTCCTTCTAGAATCCATGTAAAAAAAAAAAAAAAAAGGTAATATTTAATTATCACAATTTTGATGAAATTATAATATGCAAATGAATCGCTTGATTCAGTAGACCATGGCCAAGGCCTTGAACATGCATTTCTCCAAATCCTCAGGGCGTGAGGATAGTGAAAATGTAAAAACCATAGTGTAAACAACAAGGATGTGGAGTCTGAGCTTTCTATAAAGTAGAGCTATTCATGCTTCTGAAGTCTAAAACTGACCAGTGGGGTCGAGTCCTTGACACAAAAAGTTCTTGAATACAGCAGTAGAATCGCTGCCTTCTGAAGCTATTGCGCTGCATAGATTTCAGAGCATGTCCTTATCTCCCAGGCAAAAGTTAATTCCACGGATCGCATGTTGTTAACTGAAAAGGCTTGAGTTGTATTGGTTGTGCATGAATGTCTAGTTCATTTCTTTTTTAATTAGAATGGAAAGTCTTTAAGGAGGACATGGTCAATTCAGTCCAGCTATAGGCTTAGTAATCCTTTTCTATTAGCTCATATGCCACACAGGCACACATTTATATGATCAACCTGCTCCTAAAAAAGTCTTTGAGTCTCAGAGCTCTGCCTTATTCTGAAACTTCTTCTTTTTTTTTTTTTTTTTTGCTTCTATTATCCTAGCTGTGTAACAGCAGCAAATAAACAAAAAACTTAATATAATCCTGTCAGGAAGTTCTCATCTCGGCCACAGATTGGTTTGTTTAAGTCTTTTTTTCCCTAATAAGGTTTCTGCACTTTTAAGAAGAGCATATTATTGTTAGTGAGCTCTGATGTGGCATTATTGAATGAGCACTGGATTAGCTCTTCCTGGAATCCCTATCCAGGGTTATTATGAGTTGAAACTGACTCCACAGCACATTACAACAACAACACAACACTTTTTGTTATGCTGTTAGTTGCTGTTGAACAGGTTCCAACTCATAGTGATCCTCTGCACAACAGAAGGAAACGTGGCCCAGTCCTGCACCATTCTGGCAATTGTTGCTGCTGCCACTGAGTCAGTCCATCTCTTTGGGGGTTCTCCTCTTTTTCATTGACATTTATTAACTTTGTTGTTGTTGTTAAGACCCATAGCAACCCTGTACAGGGTTTCTGAGGGTGTAAATCTTTACCGGAGTAGAAAGCCTCATCTTTTTCCTGTGGACCCATAGCGAGCGACCCTGTACAGGGTTTCCGAGGGTGTAACTCTCTACGGGAGTAGAAAGCCTCATCTTTCTCCTGCGGAGCAGCTGGTAGTTTCGAACCGCTGACCTTAAAGTTCGCAGCCCGATTCGTAACCACTACGCTACCAGAGCAACCATGATCTCCTTTATCCAGGACTGGTCCCTCCTAAGAACATGTCAAAAGAATAAGAGATCAAGTTTCACCATTCTGGCTTCTAAGGGGTATCTTGGCTGTACTTATTTAAGATAGATTTGTTTTTGCATCTAGCAGTCTATGGTACTTCCAACATTCTTTGCCAACAAGATAATTCAATGTATGCCCTTAAATTCTCATAGCAACAGCCCATGATGTGAGCTAACGCTTTTCCCTCTGTACTCCTTCCTCACACAAACACGAATACAGCTATCAATGTGGCTGTAGGGTGGGTTTCAGTTTATAGATATAAAGGCATCCTGACATAAGACTATTGCAAGATGCCTTCTACAATCTGGTCCTCACATTCTTTTTCATCTTATCTCCCATTTATCCCACACTTGGGCATCAGTAAACATGCTGAGAGCAAGCAGATCTTCAAAGATCTTTTATTGGGACCCAGCGCCAACTAAAATGAATTCTACCCAAATCAGTTCAATAAGCAAATCGAAGTTCGTAAGTCACAGGTTAATAATATAACCAAAGAGAAATCAAGTCCTAAAGTCTCCTCAACCTACCCAATAAGAAGCATTACCTGCTAACATGTGTTGGAAGGCATATGCTTCTGTTTTCTTATCAGGCTATGAACATATGCTTCAATTAATGAATGGCATTTACAAGTTTGTTCTTGTTTAAAATGTTACAATCATACGGGCCTGCAAAACTTACCAGATATGCTTCATACACTTATTAATGTTGGGGGGCTATATTAATAAAGTTCTAGCTTTCCAGGGAATTTGTTAATCAGGTGTTGCTTTCAGAATAGTCAATGTTTCACATTTTGTTCATATGAAAAGTTTTTAAATAAAAAATATCAGTGATTGATTTCATAGCACCAAGAGCCTGAGATTTGACAAATCCTGCCACTAATGCTTTCTGCATCTGTGATGGAGACAACCCAAGGCATACAACCAGTAGTTTTCTCTGGAACAAAGGAGCTGTCTGCTCAGTATTTCGGTCAAAGAGACACATGTATGCAAGAATGTTGGGGTCAGTTAATTTCTCTCTACTCTTCCTTGCAAAGATATTGAGTGGAACTGGGAACTGAGCAGCATTGATTTACAGCTTTAAAAACAGTTGGGTTGTCCCTCCTGAATTTAATGTGTCTGCTTCTTTTGGAAATGCACCAACTGGGATGGGGCATGTGCCAAGATTACCCTGAAGAGGATTGACTTTTTATAGTGCTTTTTACTCTTGCTCTCTTTTTCAAATGAGTAACGAATTTCATTAGCTACTCAGAAATCACTCTATGTATGGGAAAAGGCCCCCAGCAGCACCTGCTATGATGCTGTAGGGCTGGTGTTGGACCACAGTGGTAATAGGTCCTAATCTTTGTATATATTATTAAGGGATTTGTTGATGTACTTTCCCAAACACACAGAACTCTTGTCATAAAAACAAATGCTTTCCCCTTTTCTACTTATCCCACAATTTCTCATGGAAGAGAAGCCCTTGAGTGGTGAACCTACCATGTTGGGAATAGCCAGGGTTACCAAGAAGCATTTAATTGGTTTCCAGCAAGCAGGTGTCCTTTTTTAACTAATGTTTAAAATTTCAAGAACACAATGCTCCTCCACAAAGCTTTGGATTATTTTCATAATTATAATTCAACTCAATGGGTGAAGAAATCATCATTTGAAATATATAATAATGAGAAGTCCCAGTGTGGGGCTGCAGGATAATACGCTGGACCACATGGTCAATTTGAAACATGAGGTCAGCAGTTCAAACCCACCAGCCACCCCTCAGACACCCTATACAGGGTCGCTGTAGGTCGGAAACAACTTTATG